AGGGGCAGAAGGACCGTTTTGGATGATGAGAGGATCGAAAGCAGACTTCAGTAGAGCAAGGGGAATTCTAATGCCGAGCAGGAGATACCGGCCACAGGACTGATGGGTTTTGTCTTGCAGGCGCCCGAAGGGAAGTTCAGGAACTGGAACCCAGGGTTGGGATGATGGCTCAGTGGGTAACGCACTGAAGAAGCATGAGGACCTCAGTTGGAATCCCCTGAACACATGTTGCCAGATGTGGCGGCTGGAAAATGAGGGTTCCTCGTGGAGGAAGAGAAAGGGAAGATCAAGGGCCAGCGAGGAGGGAGTCCAAGTGATAAATGATGAAGAGAGCCTGTCTCAAACAAGGTGTAAGGCATGGACTGACACCTGAGGTTGTCCTTTGAGTTCTACATGTGTGAGCTACGGCACATGTGTGCACACATTCAAACACATGACTACGTGTGCACACGCATACCTACATCATACATGCAGAGATAAAACTAGAAGCAGCAGTATACATATCTGACAAAAAAGCAACCGATGGGTGTGGAAACCAGGTTAGTTGAAAACCAAGTGGTGGTGTACGCTGGCAGTCCTAGCACTTGGGGGGCAGAGGCAAGCGGATCTCTGTGAGTTCGAGGCCAGCCTGGTCTATAAAGTGAGTTTCAGGACAGCCAGGGCTACACAGAGAAATGCTGTCTAAAAACAAACAAAAACAAAAACCCCAGAAACAGAAACAAACAAACATTCAAAAATAGAAAACAAAACAGAGAAATAAAATCAAGTGAAGTCTGCAGGACTTCTAGCAAGGAAGTGGGCTTACGCAACTCCTTAAGGAGACCGCTTGAAACGCCTCTTGCAGAAGTTGAATCATGAGCACTCTGACTCCCGACTCCAGGACTGCAGGCCCAAACTAAGACCCAAGAGACACGCCTCCCAAGAGAAAGCAAAACAAAGTCAATTAATTTAGCCAATCTGCTAAACTGTACCGGAAAGAGAAAAACTTGGGTATTTGGTGTGGGAGGTCCTTCTGTCTGTGTGTTGCTTTTCTTGGTTAATGAATAAAAGACTGCCTTGGCCTGTTGATAGGGCAGAACTTAGGTAGGTAGAGAGACAGAACTGAATGCTAGGAGAAAGAAGGGTGGAATCAGAGAAATGCCATGAATCCGCCACGGGAGATGTGATGAAACTTTGCTGGTAGGACATGACCTCGTGGTGATGCACAGAGTAGTGGAGATGGGTTAAACTAAGATGTAAGAGTTAGCCAATAAGAAGTTAGATCTAAAGGGCCAAGCAGTGATTTAATGAATACAGTTTCTGTGTGGTTATTTTGGTTCTGGGTGGTCAGGACAAACAAGTGGCCCCCTGCAACAGGTGTCAATATAGAGAAAGAAATACACCAGTAATTGAAAAAAGAAAATAAAAACAAGGTTGAACTGCAAAGGAATTTTTTTTTATAGCAAGGAAATACAGTTGTAAAGATGGAATCAGAGTGCACCACACAATCCCGGGTTACAATGTTAAGTTATCATAGCTCTATAAAAACCCAGAGTGTATATTTAGTTAGAATCAAGATATAGATACAGTCTATGGGTAAGAAAAATGTATGCATAGCTAGCATAAGAGAACTATCTCTCACCAAACATGGGCAAGCAGAAAAGTAGAAAACAAGGTAAGGATATTTAAACAATAAACACGAAATCTATATTATCAGAAACAGTTGGGAGGTCATTGTTAGGACTGTATGGGTGGTGGGGAGGGCAACGAGAGCTTGCTGACCTTTGTTATAATCCTTATAGAATGGAAATAGTTAACTTTTACACCAGTTTTGTCTATTATTTTAATTTGAGGATAAGCTATATGCTCTAGAGATATTTGCATTGGAATAAAAATGAATATTTTTCCAATATATTATTCATTATTTCAACACATACAGATATGATAGTTCAGGCCCTCTGAATGTGGGTGACAGATGTGTGGTTGGGGCAGTCTTTGTGGCCACTAGCTGTGAGACCAGGAGTTATTCCCTAGTGCTTGAACTGGCTTTTTGGAGCCCATTCTTTTTGGAGGGATACCTTGCTCAGCCGAAATATAGAGGAGAGGACCTTGGTCCTGCCTCAAAGTCAAGTGTCAGACTTTGTTGACTTGTATGGGAGGCTGGCTTTACCCTCACTGATGAGTGGATGGAGGGGGGAGTGGGAGGAGGGGAGGGAGTGGGACGGGAATTGGTATGTAAAATGAGAAAAGATCGGTTTAAAGAAAATAAATTAATTTAATAAAATAAAAAACACGCTAGTTCATAATACTGTCTAGAAGATATAAGTGAGGGTTAGTGTTTATAATTATTCTCACTCTGACACATTCAAATAAAATCTTGCTTCTTTTGTTAGCATTAGCATATTTTCCTTTATTATTAAGTACAAATGGATCACTGAAATGAGCTATGTCAGGCCAACTCCGAGAGTTTTACTGTTGACCCAGGAACACTTGGCAATGCCACAAAAGGTTTTGTGGATGCTTCTGGCATCTGGAAGGTTGAAGTCCAAGATGATGCTAAGCCTATTCCAATAAATGAAGCAAACCCCAGAACAAAGATCCACCCAGCCCCAAATGTCAATAGTGCGGAGGCTGAGAAACTGAGCCCCACATCTTTGAGGATTATTTCATCAGAAGTCTATACATAAAGATGATATGCAAACATCTTACAGGGCAGGCTTGACTCAGCTCAAATACCTCACTATAATGTTAGAAGAAGCCTAGTTGTGCAATCTACCTTTGGGAATAATGAGAATGGTAAAGTCAAGACAAAAGGTATAATAAGCGATAACAATAACAAAACAGAGTGCTTTGTACCTTAATAATCTCTTTCATCCATGATTCCCTGGGCACTTTATAGACTAGTAACCGCTCTGGTTCTCACGTATTACCTTTTATCTAAGGACCTGAGGCACTTTCACAATGCTCTTAACATGAAGGAAGTATCATTATCCCCATTTTATATGCAGGTAAACAGAGGCACAAAAGTTAAGCAACTTACCCAAAGCCAAGCCAGCCAACACTCCTGACTCAGAGTCGATTAGTACTAAGAGATGGAGGAGGGTGATAAATTTATTTTCATAAATGTTACCCTTGTTCATTTAAGGTCTATTGTTTTCAAGTTAACGTATTCATTTCTTCTTCTTCTTCTTCTTCTTCTTCTTCTTCTTCTTCTTCTTCTTCTTCTTCTTCTTCTTCTTCTTTCTTCTTCTTCCTCCTCCTCCTCCTCCTCCTTCTCCTCCTCCTCTTTTTCCCTCCCCCTCCCCTCCTCTTCCTTCTTTCTTCTTCTTCCTCTTCAATCTCATCCTCTTCTTTTTTCTTCTCCTCTTCCTCTTCTTCCTCCTCCTTCTCCTTTCTGTCTCCTCAATCAAAACCCCAGGACAGTTTGATATTATAGTAACAGGAGTGGCCCTTGAATCAAGCATACTACAGTCAGAGTCAACTCTTAAAACAGCTTTAAAATATATGGTACTATTGCTGATCTTGTAGTAAAGAAAGCTACAGAATTTCAGAGAATTTAAACACACGCTAAAAATCTGTATGATAAATTAGGTCTGGACATCCCAACTGAGCATGTCCTCTTTCCAGCATGGTCTACAGCCCCTCCAAGAGATCAATGCCTGAATACGAAAGTTTATAGTCAGGCTCCATTTTGCCTCTTTTGTTTGGTCTTATTTTTTGAGACAGAGTTTCTCTGTGTAGTACTGGCTGTCCTAGAGCTCGCTCTGTAAAACCAGGCTGACCTCGAACTCACAGAGATCTGCCTGCGGCGATCTACCTCCTGAGTCCTGGGATTAAAGGCCTGCGCAGCCACCTCCAGGTTCATCTTGCCTCTTAAAAACCCAAAAAACAAAACCACAATTCGGTTTGTTCCAGCTACGCTTACGATCAGCATGTTTTAAAGTCTCTCAGGTGAGACCTTTTACCAAGTAACTTTCTAAGCGTTTCTGCCGTTCCAACCGGCAGGCCAAAGACCAGAACTGCTTCTGAGAAATGCAAAGCCTGTGAGTCATTGTCGCCTGTTCCCATTGCTCTAGTAGGTGCCTGTAGTCTCCTTGCCCACACTGTGCCACCTGAGCAAAATGAGAAAGATTTGTTAGGTCAGCCTGTGTGTGACTCACGGCTCTTACTTTTTAGGACATGAAGGCATGGTTTCACAGCCTCTGACAACGATGCACTCTGCCTTTACAGGGAGGTGAGAGATCAGCGGGGGCCCATTCTCCCCGGATCTAGAGACCATAGAAGACCCGCGTGTGAGGATGGACTCCTGAGCATAGTAGGGATGGAAAAAACGGAGACTATCCAGCTTTACGACGCTAAAACCGTCCATAAGCGGTGTAGAGACTGCGAGAAAACGGGATGAACTGCAAAATACAGTAAAAGTGTGCAAAGGCATCATGTCGAGTCAAAAGCTTGAGAGAATAACAAAGTCTTGATAAATAATTAATTTTAGCTTCTTCTTTTAGCTAACTCCCTTCCCACGACACTCGCTGTGTTGAAGAGGCTTGCTGGGTTTCTCAGGGTCCTCCTCGCCACCCCTTGCATCCCAAAAGGGGTGGGCAGCGGCGAGAGAAAGGGACGCATGGGTATTTCCCCACCCTGGCGAGCCAGGTCATGAATCATCACTAGCTGGTAGCACTTGCCTTCAGCAAGTCACAACTTTCCCTAGAATAATACGGTGTTGGACTTAAAAGGAAGAGTGGTGGGAGACCTGAGAGGCGGGGAAGTGGAGCGAGGAGAGGGGCGTGGAGCGACCGATCCCGCCCCAGAATCTCAAGCGCTGGAAGAATGAGGTGTCCCAGCCTCTGGCGCCCCGAGAGGGAGGGGACGCCGCGGCGGGATAGGCGGGGCGCCGCGTACCTGGGCGCGGAGGGCGGGGCTTCGGCGGCACTCCCTCCCCCCTCCCACTTTCTGGCAGGGACTCGGTCCTTTCCGCCCCGCTTCGGCCCTGCTCGGCTCCCGCCCCCCCTCCGCCCCTCGCTCTCTCCCTCCCACCCTCTCTCCCTCCCTCCGGCCAGGGACTGCCCCCGAGCTCCAGCGGGCGAGTTTGCCGTGGCTGGTCGTGAGCGTCCTGAGCGCTCTGGCTCACCTGGACAACCCTCCTCCCCGCCCCGCGCCTTGTCCCACCTAAACTCCTCGGAGGTAAGGAAGGGGCTCCCCGGGTCTCCCGCGCGGGACTCGTGCACCGGTCCCGTTCTCCGCTGGACGTACTTCTCCGCCTGTTCCAGCCGGCTAGGGGGCTCCATGCCCCGTCCCGGAATGGAGGCGTCCGTGGCGCGGGAGCATGAGCCCGCGCCAGCGGAGAGGAGTCGCGGGGAGCTCGGCACACAGGTGGCAGCCGCGCGGGTGTCCCGGTGCGCGGTCGCCCACCGGGGTGGGACGGGGGGGGGGAGAGGGGAGGGTGGGGCTCGCCTCTCTCTGCTTCCCCGGGGTCAGGGATCTCGGGGTGCACGGCGGAGGTGAGCCTTGCGAACTTGCTGGGGACTCGCGGGGACGCCGAGGGGGGAGCCCATGGCTGTTCTGCGGTTGCCCGGGGACCTAACGCCGCGCCCCCTCCCCCGGCCCGTGTGCTTCCCTTGCAGAGCCTGGGTCGCGCTGCGCGCCGTCCCCCTCGCATTCTTGCTCCCCGGGCAGGCGGCAGGCGGCGGCGGGAGTCGGGACGCGCGGCGAGAGGGGCGCCCCCGCCGGCCCCTCTGGGAACATGGCGACCGGCGGCTACCGGAGCGGCGGCGGCAGCACCACGGACTTCCTGGAGGAGTGGAAGGCGAAGCGCGAGAAGATGCGCGCGAAGCAGAACCCCGCGGGCCCGGGTTCGGGCGGCGGCGGCGATCCAGTCGCTAAGTCCCCTGCGGGACCGCTGTCCCCAACCGGGGTCGCCGGGACCTCTGAGCTTAACCACGGCCCCGCGGGCGCGGCCGCACCTGCTGTCCCCGGGCCCACCGCCCTGAACTGCGCTCTGGGTCCTTCGGCGCTGCCCCGCTCGGCTCCCGGCTCCCGGCGGCCGGAGGAGGAATGCTCGACCGTCGCTGCAGTCGCGGGGGCGCCCGCGTCCCGGGGCGACGAGGAAGAAACGGACGGCGCCCCGGAGAAGGGCCGCAGCTCGGGGCCCAGCGCCAGGAAAGGCAAGGGGCAGATCGAGAAGAGGAAGCTGCGGGAGAAGCGGCGCTCCACCGGCGTGGTCAACATCCCCGCCGCGGAGGTGAGCCGGACGGGGCGGGGCGGGGAGGGTTCGGGGATCGGGGCCGCCTCCGGTGTCTTCCACCAGGGAGCTCCCTCGACCCGGGGCCCGGAGGTCCCTTGCACTCCCTTTCAGCCGGGATGGAGATTTACTTTGAGCAAATGATTCCTGGGCAGTTTCTCCGACCCAGATGAGGACACGTGCTTTTTTTGCGCCCTGGGAACCGGTTTCCTACTTTAGAGTGATAAGACAGTTTGTGTCCCCAAGGTTTGCCAGCCTAGACTTTTCCGTGTGGGGGTGATCAGTTAGGGAAAATCGATTCGTGGAGGTGATGACGTATTCTGCTTTCCCACGTGTCCGTCTCCGGCTATCAGGTTGTTTTATCTCCACTTCCCTAGCGGTGTTTGCAGGAGAGCACCTGTAAAGAAAGCGTAGCCCTAGCAATATCTAAGGCAGCGTTTATCTCGCAGTAAACTCGAGATGAGTGTGTCCAAATAAAAGTCTGCTGTGTAGCCTACATCACCCCACCCCCTCACCCCCACCCAAGCGGGGATGCTGTAGCAATCTCGGTTCTGGAGGCTCAGGGATTTCTTGCGGTATTTAATAATTGGGCAAGCATTTGTGGGAGGTGTGTGCTCTTTTGTTTGGGGTTATTTTTGCTATTTCACAAAAACATTTCTTCAGGCAGCAGGGACGTTCTCTTAGGGTCTGTGTAAAGATTTTTGCCGAAGTGTCTTCTCGCACTTCTATCCACCTGGAAGTAAGCTGCCCCAAACCGTTGCGGGGGGGGGGGGGGGGAAGTGGTTTGACCACTGCGCTTCACCCGAGGAGCCACATCTTACTCAGTGGCTTTTTAGTTTTTGTTCACCACCCACAACTTTTTTATTCCTGGCCATTAAGTGACTGTTAAAATATTTACTAACTGTGGGCTGGGAGTGTAGCTCAGTGGTAGAGCATTCGCTTAGAATGTGTTAAGGCCCGGTGTTTGATCGCCAGCACTGCTTAAACAGAACAGAACGCAAAGCACGTTAAAAGCCAGGCATCATGGCTCAAAAGCATAATCGCATCCTTGCGAGGCTGAGGCAGGAAGATGGAGCATTTGAGACCAGTCAGGGTTATGCGTTTGTGAGACCATCTCCACCCCAGTGCCCACTAATTTATTAATAATTGTGGTTTAAGTGATTTGTAGTAAGGAGTATATTAGAATTATAATTTTAAGTACTAATGTGATTTCCATGACTAGAAAATCGGAGTGTGTCTCTGTAGGGTCTATTTTTGTATTTTTATGGGAATGTTTCAGAGATTTTTATCAGGCAGAACAACTGTCCTTTGTGGTTTACTACTTGTACAAGATATCTGTTATTCATTAAAGCTGCTTTCAAAGGAATTCATAAGAATGGTAATCAAATTTCCAGGTTCCTTTTTTTTTAAATGTAAAAATATGAAGATTAAGGGGAATTGAAGACAAAGCTTTGGAAAGTCTGCATTCCTCAGCGTTATTTTTAAAAGGCAACTTATGGTCCAAATAATAGAACTTGTCATTTTTGCTCCTTTTTCAGGGTTCATCTGACAAGGGTCTTATTTTGGGAACTATGTTGGCAGATGTTAAACTTCATATTTTTGGTCTGGCTGCTTGGGCTAAAATTATTTTTTTTAATTACTTAAAAAAAAAGAAGAAGAAGAAGAAGAAGAAGCCCAGGAAAATAAGTAGGGTGTATCTTGTGAGAGCCTGAGAAACATCCTTTGTTAGTGGGTCCTCCTCTTGAGTGAGGGAACGCAGTGCCGAGACTGTAGACGGCTCCCCACTGCAATTGAGTCGAATACTCTGGAATGTTTTTCGTTTGGGTGTTGGCAACTCCTAAATTTAATCTTCCTTAAAAACAAACAACCCAGGGTACCATTTTTTTTTTTTCCTTCGTCTGTGGAATTTGAACCTTTTTTTTTTTTTTATTGAATAGGGAATTGAGGATTGCTTTCTTTTAGTGGTAACCATGGCTCTGTTTCAAGCTGTAGGACCCAACAAAACAAAGTCATATTTTACCACAGTATCTAATTAGCTGACATACTTCTCAAGTGTCTCCTTCCCTTACTGTTGGAATTTTAGAATATTTTTTTTTAAAGAAATATGGTATAAACAGTTGGAGAATATATACTGCAGAACTTTGAAGCTGAACGACTTTCTTATCTCTTAGGCTGTTGCTGTTTGAGAATTGTAAGACATTTCTTCCAGTTTTGAATAGTGAGAGGCACTCGCCGAAAGGGTTGGTGTGTTGTACCGCTTAGCACTCCTGTTTTTTAGGAGGTCATATTCTATAAACTTTTAGGTATCGCCCATTCTGCCAGTGGGGAAACAAAGGTGTGCTGTTGAATGAGACTTGCATTCATTCACGCAGTATTCCCAAACGAGTTTATTCCAGATTTTCCTGGAATGTGCTTAGAGGGCCTAGTTCAGTGGCTGACAATCTTTGTTCCTTCAAGCAGTAGGTATTATAGGCTGTGGTGGAACATGCCTTCCACCCCACTGCAGAGGCCGAGGCAGAGGAAGGCAGATAGATCTGTGTGGTTGGAGCCCGGCTAGGAATACATGGTGAAACAGTATCCTCCCATCCCCCCAAATGCACACATCAAACACCCGTATGATGTATTCATTCTGGCTTTCACCAACTGATGGTATTATTCTCGTGTGTTGCTTATATTGCTGCAACGGCACCTGACTCCAGCCAAACATCACAGTAGCAACTACGAGATAGTTTAGAGTGGAAATGGGTTAAAAGCTAAAACTTCCCAGGAGGGGATAGCATACCAGGCAGGCACTGTGGGGAGTTAAGTATAAAAGTCCAAATTTCCAGACACCTTTTAATGAGATAAACTCTGGTTTTCATTCATTAGTTTCTTGTTTTGTTTTAATTTCCATGACTTTTGGCGTTTTCTACCTTTCCCGTGTGGTAGTATCTCGCTCTCATTGAATAATTAGGACATTATTCAATGACTAGTCTACTAGTTTTTGTGTTCTTCAAATGCACCAAATGATCATTACATGCCCGTGTCCACTGCATTGTCGAAGTGGCGGAGTGGGCAAAACAAGAAGACAGCTGTATAGATTTGGACAGAGCAAGGCTGGGGGCTAGGAAGAAATGGAAGAACATAGCACCGACTTTGCAGTGTGAACGCATGGGCACGCAGCCTCTGCTGGTTCCGCGCATGCTCTATGTTTAAAGGGAAGAGACAAGTGAGCTGGAAGCCAATGAGGATGAGACTCTTGGGTTGAGTCTTACTTTCATACCCACCTATCCATCTGCCGAATCTCATGCGCGTTTGCACACAAATGCAGTGCTTGAAGGGCCAAAGGGTAGCGGTTCTTAACTCTGACAGCCTGTTGATACCATGTGCAGAACTTAAAATAAATGCCCCCCCCCCTCGCCGCCGCCGATTCTTGGCCCTTCCTGTTCTCCACTCCCACTCCCATGTGATTTAGTGGGTTTGGGATGGAGCCCAGGCTTTAATATTTTTATAAACTCCCCATGTAATTCTCATGTGAGTCAGGGTTAAGGACCACTGGGCCACAGTCTGAGCACCCAGAAGGATCTAGAACACAGGCATTGACCGCAGGTTCTCGCTAGTACGCTGAGGAAGCACGGTGAGATCCGGTGAGTTAGCTTCATCCCTAAGCGGTCCACCTCTTCAGAGGCGGCGGGGGCATTGAGCACTTCTGAGACAGTTTTGTGTCGGCTCTATTTACAAGAGCTACTGCCTGAAGACAGTTGCCACAGGAAACAGGAGTGTTTCGTTAGGCAGCCATGAAAACTTGGTTTACGCTAAAAGCCAACAGATAGTTAAAAGTTCTACTTGCATAAGGGTTGGCTGAAGTCCTTAAAGGTCATTGCAGCCCTGTTATGTAGCTACTCAGTCCCTGTTACCAGAGTAGAACGTAGAGGCTTAGAGCTTAAACGATTCGCGCCTGTATAGCTATAAAAATGGCAGTTATTACATACTGACTAAAAAAAAAAACGGCACAGAAGTGATAGCGCAGTGTTTTAGTGTTCTTGTGATATGTGTATGTGGAAGAAAAACAGATTTTTTTTTTAAAGAATTAACCTTGCATTGTGTATCATATTTCCTTAGCCTTTTCCCTTTATGTTTTATTAAAGTTGTTTTTGATAATTAGGCATTTGAAAGAGGAAGCCTGTAATGGTTTGGAATTGAATAGAAACTGAGCCAAATTTTGGGCTCAGAGATTGCTCTCAGAACCTCTCTAGTTTGCTTCAGGAGATTTTTTTAACACCGGAGTGCTAGCAAAATGAAAAATAGGAAATTATTTTTTGGTTAGCAATTCAAAAGTGTATACTTTACTACGACCTAAATGATATTTTCCTTCTTCTCGAGATGGTGTTCCTACTGCATAATTTGAACCCAGGCCTTCCAGGGTGAGGCTGGAGGATTATTTGCTATAGAGAGCACTCACTTCCCTGGGAGCACTGGCGAGGCAGCAGTTAGCTCAGCATATTTGCTGAACAGTGCTTGGGGCAAGTTCTTCTCAGTAAACCCTAGAAATCCGGGGAGATTAGGATGGTGCTTAGTCTACAGCAAGCCCAGTGTTCTAAGAGACCTGAGTGTTTATACTACCCCCCCCCCCCATTCACATGTCAGATGCTCCCCATCTCTGAGTCATTGGTACTGTCTCTCCTGATTCATCACCCAGAAAGGTAGACAGTCTGGAACACAATGGGAATACCAAGCAGCATTTCTTCATCTACCTGGGGGGCTGGTACAAAATGTTTTCTACGTTTTAAATTATTGGTAATATTGGGACTTGCCTTTTTCTCAGGGTCCTTTTTCTTCCTTTAAGAACGGAGAGCCCCACATCCCATAATACATCATTTTAAATGCCTACCCTCTGGGGCTAGGGACCTAGTCTACTGTTCACCGTTAGGATGTTGCTAGCATGCACTAGGCCCTCGACTTGACTCCCAACAGAAAAGAAAGGAGAGAGGGCAATTCCGTTCTTCCACCGTATGCCGAGG